AACTGGAAGAAGGCGGCAAAGAAACTGAGTGCGAAGCTCGCAAATCCAAAACAACCTGTAAGAAGGAGATAACTCATCCAACAGAGCATTGAACACTGGGCTCATCAAGCTCTCAACGGCGCAACGGTCGAGCCAAAATTGCTGTCAGAACTCAGGCCAGGGAAGAAAAAGGAGGTTGCAGCGACAAGAAATGACGGCGCAGTTTGCCCAGGCCCCAAGACGCACGACGCGAAAGTTGCTGCAAGGTACGGATCCGCTAAGGCCGCATTTAGCATGGGGGGCCAATCAAAATTAGTCCAACGGTGGACGCGAGGGAAACCACAGAGCAGAGGGACTTCAGGAACGGTAAAGTGAAGACGTGGGAATCGGTGGATGTGCTGCATGGACCCACCCTGGCAGGCAAGCAGAAGAAGGAAAGAGCCCATGAGTGGACAATTGCCACCCCTTCCTCTCCAGACCGGGAAATTAGCTAAGCGACATTGCCAAAATTACGTCGAGCCGGCAAGAGCCACACATTTCAGGGTCTGTCATCGTATTGACGCCCCAGTCTTTTGTTTCAGGAGAAGGTCAAGCGAGTCACGGCGCTCCGTGCTCACAGCCGGTCGATTTCTCGTCATCCTTCCTGGACGGCCACGACGGCCTTGGGATATTTGCAGAAGCTGATGACGTCCAATACGAGTCTCTTTCTGACCGACATGCTCAGCTTCACAATTATCCCCGAAATGCTCATGAATTGCACCCCGGGAATGTCTCTGCCAATGAGGGGACGGTGAAAGCACAAATGAACCTCTTGTGCATGATTGATGGAGGGACAGTGGGTAAGGGGAAAGAAAAGGGGCTTTTGGAGCTGATTGACTTGCAGCAACCACCATGTCTGCGTATGTAACAGAGAGACGGATTTCTTGTTGTTCGTCCAAGCATCATCGTCCTAATTCAGGTTCGGATGCCCTATACCGGTATCGTCGAGAAACTAGAGCTGGGAAGGTCCTGGTGAATGTGTGGATGTCTCCCTTTGGAGCATAAACCGGCCATATCTCAGCATTATCGATTGGTCCAGACCACCTCTTGGTATCCATCAAATTGAAATTCCCATCTCCTTGGTATTCCACAAGTGTTCCTGGACCTCGAATCCAAGTGCTGACACCGAGTCTCACTCGCTGTGTGCGAGGGTTAGGGTTGTTCTATTGTTCTAAGAAAGTGCCGTGATCTGGTGGCATGTCATCTGATCTCGCGTCGCGGGTCATCCCGCGCTAGACACGCAGGCCAGAAAATTTCTGGAACACAGTTGTAGCACCGCAGCCCTGCGCATCGCATGGAACTGGACACCGGCCGGGAACCGGATTTAGTAAACTGCATATCAGTGCTTCTTCCATTTCGGTTTTGCATGTAGGCCGGTGAAGCACAATGTTGCGATCAAGCAACCAAACGGGCTATGTTTGCTGGAGATGTCTGCGCCAGCCTCGTTTCTCTGCGACAACATGGCCATTAACGTCCAAGTTGTCCCAAATTCGGGTATGTCGTTTGTTTGGTTGTTTTTTCCTGGACCACTGATCTAATCTGTCGGTAAACCTCTCTAGGGACTTGCCTCTCATCCCAATGACGGTCAAGCCGGGATCCAGTTCCCCTTCCATGGCAAGAACTCCCGGATTCGAAACCAGCTTCGCTTGTGGGAATCCGAGCATCCCGTGATTCTTCCCGCCTTTGACCCAACACCCGAGAATCCCATCGCTCCTGTCAATACACTGGTTGAGAGGCGTGGGACGCATCAACACATCGTTCCAAAACAACCCGACATTGCTCCTCTCTTTGACGGTGGCGAGCTCGTCGACTTCGGAGATGGTGTACCTGGGCTTCAGCCAGGCGATCTGGTAGAACTCAGCAGCGATACTGCGAGGATACCTCTACTTGCGATTTGCCTGGGGCATGTCGACGGCTTTGACCATTTCTACACTGATAATGGCAAATGGTTCGCCGCCCGTGATATCTACACCCGCTTTGTTGTCAAGAAGTTTATTCTTGATCCTGGGGAGCTCAGAGCCGTCATTGACGCCATCCCGTCCACGGTGGGCGAGGAAAGGCTCCTGGGCGAGCTCGCCAGCCTGAACATTGGCCCTACTCGGACTCTCGGCGAATCGCTCAGAACTCGAATGCTGGATTTCCAGGAGACTGCTCGCCATCATAATCAGGTCTATTCCGAGTCCCTCAACCGCGCTGGCACTCTGGCTGGTCCTGTAGAGAAGCTCATGACCCTTGAGGAAATCGCTCATGCCCTGCTGCCAGCCGCTGTCGCCAAGAAGTACCCCACTGGGGCCGGAGATGGTTCGTCTGCCTTTGCCCCATCTCTGCTTTATGCTGTTCATCGTTCCATCTCCATTTACCACGACCTCGTTTTCCGGCCCCTCCACCAAAGCGACCGCCTGTATCATAACCATCTTTATGCTGTGGCTTCTGAGCAGGACACCAAGGTCATTCACGATGTTGAAGATACCTTTCGAAGGGCCTACGAGGGCCTTGGGGGAGGGCAGTTGCAGGAACAAGGTGCAGCTCACGATATCGCATCGCGATTTCAAGTGTTTGTTCAGAGAGCCCAGCAAGCCATTGACAAGAGCCGAAGAAGCCGTGAGTGGTATTCGGGCGGAATGCTCGGCCCAGCTCGGAAATCACTCAGCGCGTCGGCCTTCCGTTGGTCTCGAGACGACATGAAATACATCACCTTTCTTCGCCTCTGGGCTGCTTCAGGCCAGATTCCACGCCAATCTCGACTCCATTGGGTTGGTGCCGCCATATTGCGTGCAACTCAGAGATACACCCAGGCTGAGTACCTGGATTGTGCCACCGGCTGGACCTTTCTTCAAGAGATCGGCTGGACTCACCCTTGGGACCTCCCTGTTCGTCACTCTCTGAGGCTCCCGGGTGTGGCTGTCCATGGCTCGGAAGCCGAGACGACAGCTGCCAAGGAGCAAAAACTCGGGCCTGATCTGCTTGCATCCATTCGCTCAGACCTGAAGGGCACAACGGTTTATTGCATCGACTCGGAAAAGGCCCAAGATATCGACGACGGTGTCTCCCTGGAGCACACGGAAAAGGAAGGTGAATACTGGATCAACGTCCATGTTGCCGACCCTGCTTCACGCATCGCACACGACTCTCCTTTGGGCAATGAAGCGGCAGCCAAATCTCAGACAACGTATCTTGCCGGATATATTGAGCCCATGTTCACTGCCGAAGTCGTACGAGACAACTTCTCTCTGGCCTCGGGCCGACCCTCTCTCACTTTCAGTGCTCGAGTGAATGAGCTTGGTGAGATTCTAGAGTACAAAATCACACCCCATGTCCTCCAAGACGTAGTTTATATGACCCCGGAGGATGCAGCCGTAGCAGCTGGTGGAGACGCTGCTTCAGGCTCTCCCTTCTCTATCCCTTCGACTTCCTTCGAAGTAGGACAGCCTCCAGCTTCGCCGACGTCGCCAGAAAGGAAAATGACCAAGCCAGAGGAGCTTTCAGAACTACAAGTGACGGACATCAAAACCCTCAACCGGCTTGCAAAGGCGCTCCAGGACGTTCGCATTCGAAATGGATGTATCCCAATCTTTACACCCCAGCCTCGAGCCGAGGTGTCTCTCGAACACACAACCACAGAGGTCCTCCCTAATGGGTTCGTGCACTGCACAGGTGATCCCTACATCCGGATCGCCTATGAAGAACCGAACGGCTCGCCTCTTGTCTCGAGCCTCATGCAGCTGGCAGGCAATGTTGCCGCCAAGTGGTGCGCCGATCGCGCCATCCCCATCCCGTACCGTGCCCAACAGCTGGCGGACCGGAATGCTGAACGGCTCCAGAACTTCACGCAAAAGGTGCTCTACCCAAAGCTTCTCGCCGGCGAGTATCCTACTGTGGATGAAATGCGGAACTTCCGCAACCTCTCTGGCGCTTTCAGCTTGAGCGTGAGGCCTACTTCTGTTGCGAGCATGGGACTGGACATGTATACAAAGTCTACATCCCCGCTCCGTCGATACGCTGATCTGCTTGTCCATTGGCAGATCGAGGCCGCACTACTCGAGGAGTCCCTCCGCGCATCTCCAGAGACGGCGGATAAATCACCGAAGAGCAAGAAGCACTCATTGTTGCCATTCTCACGAGAAGCACTCAAGGAGAACATCCTGCCCCACCTGCTTCTTCGTGAACGCTTCTCCAAGCGACTTGCCAATGCTCACGGGAACAAGACATGGATTCTTCAGGCACTGGCACGTGCGTGGCGGTTTGGCGAGGGCAAGGAGAAGCTGCCCGAGACATTCCGGTTTACCGTCCAGAAAATCGAGTATGGGAATAGGCTCTGGGGCCGGATGGATTGGTTCGAGGTGGAGTGTCAGGTCCCAGTCAGAGGGCTGGAGGGTGTCGTCAACACGACAACAGAGGTGAAGGTGGGAGACGAGTTTATCGTGAAGCTCACTGATGTGAACGTATATAGTGGTTATGTGGTTGCTCAAGCGTTGAGGAGAGCTGAGCCTCGGACATGATTGGGCCAGGACGACCTGGGGGCGCGCTGTGGATGCTTGAGAAAGCATCTTGTGATAACAATAACTACGTCAAGACTTACGAACTAGGATACGCAAGAGAAAAAGGCATACAATTAGGACGAGGGATCATTTTGGGACACGTACCATTTAAATATGGTTAGAGGAAAGCCGGGCCACTATATACCCATGTACCATATTTATAAACCATTATTGTAAAATATAACAACACCTCGATAGATGATGTGTCCATCCGTAGACGAATGGCTACTTGCATGGTCCAGGGGAGGACCATATGCTTCCTCACAAGGCATGCCACAAGTTTAATACTTGAATCGTATTGCTAATGGAATAGAGTTCCCTTGATGGCGGTCTGTGGCTTTTGAGGCTGGCATGGACGAATATTTCCCCAGCCCTCTAACCCACACCAGAGTGCCAAAAACACAGCAGCCGACCATGATAACATCAAGACAGCAAAAGATGACGGGTCCGCTGGCTTAATTGGCAAAGCGTCTGACTACGACTCAGTAGATCATCAGGAGATTCCAGGTTCGAGCCCTGGGTGGATCGTTGATATGTGTAAAGAGGGTTCCTACCCGCTCTGAGCGATATTTTTTTCTTTTTCCCTCGAGAACATATTTTTTATTATCTTCCAAAGTTGGAGTTGCAGGTGGAACTCCTGACAGGATACAGTACATACCAACCTGGAACCACCCGACCTCAGGCCACGGAGATTTTGTAACAGATATTGTACATTACCGGTATAGCTCCACTGCCTTGGGATGATTACCTGGTACCATGGAATACCTACACACTGCTCATTGTGTTTTATTTTCCTGATCGCTACAACACCCGGGTCGAACTGGCCATACAACCAACCAACCAATGCTGTTTCGTATTTATATACTCAAAAAAGGCAACGCTTTATTCCGCAACCCAGGTCCTACCGACATGACTCTTGACTCGCCGTCCTCGCTCATGGCTGCTAACGGCAGCAGCAGGTATATGCTCACGTCTCACTTTCCAAGGTTGTTATTATATCAATACCCTCGCTTCTTCACACTGACCCTATACGCCCCCCCCAATCAAGGTCCATCATCACAACAGCGGTATATCATCATCATCATCCTCCTCCTCCTTCTCCTCAAAGCCCAGCAAGAACGCTCTGAATCCCAACAGAGCTAGCATCCTCTCTCTTCTGCACAAAAGCCTTGAAATCCGCCTTGCCCAGCTTGGTCCCAGCTCCCGTCCCAGCCCCAGCGCCCGAACCGGTAGCAGACAGATTCCTCGACCTTTCACGCAGCGCCTCAGGCCCAATAATAAACAAATACCCAACCTCGGTCAGCAACTCGACAATCTGCACCACCTCCTTCGTAAGAGGCCACTCTTTAAGGGTGGACACGTACTTGGCCAGATCCTTGGTAACCATGAGCCCACCCGTCGCATTGACGGGGAACTTTTTAAAGTGCTCAAACAAAAGTCTATACACGGCGAGGGCTAATTCCGAGCTGAACATTTCGAGGTTGTGCCCGTCTATAGCCTGTGCAGCATGGGCAGCTACTTTGGACGACAAGAAAGTGCAAATGGCCAGGCAAGTCGGTGTCTGCAGTGAGTCGACCAGCCCCTCGAGGTCGTCGTCTTTGGGACGGAAATCCAGCTTCTTTTGCTGGTTGAGGATCCGAGTCACCCAGTTGATTGCCACGTCCATGGTGCTCTTCATGACGGCGTTGGTCTTTTTCTCGGTTGCCTCGATGGCCATTTTTGTCTGGGCTTCCATGCTGCGTCGTACAGTCGTGTTGGACTCTGCCAGTCGGATCAAGACCGTGGTGATGAACCGTGACATGAGGTTGGTGATTGTCACTGCTGGACGGATGTTCGGTAGGTACGAGAGATCAGGTTCGTTTTTGACGTTTTCTTGCGACTGGGCCGCGTCCAGCGCCGCGTCGAGTGCCGTCTCGACGTATACCTGGCCCATGCTGGTAAGGAGCAGGTTGAGCAAGATGTTGACGTCCTTTGGTGTCTCGCTTGCTGATCCGAGCTCCAGAGCTCTCCTCACGCTCTCGGCCAACCAGCCAATCATCCTCTTGGCGTAGGCGACGCTCAGGGCTCCTTGCTCCTCTGAGACTTCGATGTCGTTCTTGTTACTGCTGTTGTCTTGCAGGCCGGCCACACGAAGCATCATACGCTTCTGAGTTGGCGTCAGGTCTGAGGACTCAAGCCGCTCCATGTACGCGTCCTTAGCCGTCGCGAGCAGCTGGGTTCCTTGCTGGGCAATAGCCGCCATAAAACCGGTGGGCGTCTTTTTCCGGCGCGAGTGATAAAGTGTGAATTTGAAGAGCAATGAGTTGTACATTTCCTCTAGGCTCTTCTTCTCCCTGTCGATGTATGAGTTTCCGACCAGGTAAGGGACAAACAGCTCTTCGAGTTGCTGGTCTAGGGCTTGCGATATTTGAGATGAACAAGGCTCCGGATGCTCTGTGAGACCATGGGTCTTCAGATCCTCAACCAGCGCGCTGATATAGGACCTTGAGGCATGCAGGCATCGGAGAAATGCCAGAGACGATATGGTCGTCGCCTTGTCGAGCACCATTTCCAACCGTTGCTGGATGGATTGTTGGAAAACACGCTGTATAAATTTGATCAGGACTTTCTCGTAGAACGGGAAAGCCCGCTTAATAATAAATGACTCTTCCTGCATGACGATCTTGACTTCGTCAACGAGACTTTGCAGACTGGGCTCGACTCCGGGCGGGTCGGAGTCAGGGTCGGCCAGTTGGTCCCAGGTCTCGCCATCGGTGGTCACCTCGTCCGTAATGAGCTGGTCACGATCAATGAAAAACTGGTGCTGGTTGACAAACGTGGCTATCACGCTGGCTCCGCCGTTGAAGTCGTGGAGGACCTTTGCGCATTCCATCATGTCGTCGAAATTCTGCTTTCGGTAACTATTGTTGAACTGCTTCAAGAGGTCCTGTTCGAGAAGTTCGGAAAACTTCTCCAAGACCTCTCGAGTATTGTGCTTCCGGCTCACACCAGTGACACCATTGGTGATGCCATTGCCCCGAAGCCCGTTGGATTGTTGTCCCCAGGACGCCGGGTCGAGCCGTTGGCTGATGCGCATCAGCTGGCGGGCGATGACAGCGCATCGGATCTTGTTCTCGGCGCCGCCCTGTTTTTGTATCTCTTCCAGGGAAGTGAGTTGCCCCGAATCGCTGACCTCCATCCAACACTGGATCAGGAAGTTGGCGTCCTGCGCTTTCCTCCGTTTCCTGTCAAGTTCCTCCAGCTTCTCGCCGATCTGCACGGCAATGTTACCGCCGCCATCCGAGCGCCCGTTTCCATTCGATATGCCATTGGTACCGAAGCTATCGTCGGCCGAGCCAGTGTTGTTCAGGCTAAGGTCGAGCGCCTCGAATTGCGCCATGGACTGGTCGAGCTTGCGCCCGAGGGTGTCAAGAGTCTGATCATGCTGGATTTCCGCGCGGCGAACTTGAGACAATAGTTCAGACTCCTTGACTTGCAGCTCCTCGGATAGTGAACTCAGTTGCGATAGCGCATCTAGCGAACAATGAGGGTGCTCGTTAGCGAATCAGGTGGGTATGCGACGGGGAGCTCCCAAACTGGCTTACTCTCGAACGTCCTGATCAGTGGTTTTGGGTCAAAGGCATGGTTCGACGGGCCTGAGCGGCGGTTTTGGGGGACAGCCGTCTCGGCGAGAGAATCGACAAAGTCGCGAACGATGAAGTCTTTACTGGAGAAGTCGCTGAGGCTGAAGCTGGGCCCCTTTGGGAAGAGGGCCCTCGAGCTGTTAGACCCGCCGCGTTCCATGGCCGCGACTGTCACCGCATGAATGACGCTTGGCTGGGGGATCGAATCGGGCGGACGGTGCCTAGGTTCCTTTCATTTCGCTCCAAGCTAATCAATCGGGCGATAGGCGTCGGGTTTTCGTGGTGAAGATACAGATAGGCTTTGCCGAATATTATATCGAAGCGGACGGCTCGACCCTTGAGGACCCAACCGGGGACTGAAATGCGGGACGGGGCCGGGAGGTACCTGGCCCAGGGCTCCAGGCGACCGTCATTGGTTATCGGATAACTGTTGACAGGGGTCCATAGTGTAGAATGGACCGTGCCCTGTAATAGTACCAGCACAGCTTCAGCCACATTTCGTGACGCAGGTCCAGAGTTCCCATTTCTTGTTCTGGCGTCCAGTATAATTTGGCATCAGCAACTTTCCCATCCCATTTCCTGTCATCCTGTCTAACGCCACCTCAACACTTTATATACACGTGGGCTGGATGCACCATACTCGCGGATTTAGCTGTTCAGACCTTGTATCTTTTGCGCCAAATTGACCTCAGCCTCAACCTGCAATCGCGAGTTCTTCAGCAGCTTTCGGGTACCATATATCGGGTTGAACAGTCACGGGCGATTCGGATCACCGGCCTCCCTTCGCTATGGCGTTCAGCATGCGCGATGTCGAGGCCTACCGCCGAGACGCAAAGTTGGGCGGGAAACTTCTGACCCCCGAGGATCGTATCAGAATTGCAAAGGTCGGTCGCAAACACTGTTAGCACTGTCTCGTCACTGTCGCTAATGCTGGTTTTACAATAGCCATATTTGCCGCCTCCTCGAACCTCGATTCCAGTAGACGCCAACTCGCGGGGCAAGAAGCCGCGATTCGGAGTACGAGCACGAGGCTTCTTAAAAAAGCAGTTCCACATGCTGGTGTTTGTCTTGATCCACACCTTCTTTTCACTATACCTCAAGTTCCGCCATGGCTACCATGCAATTCAAAACCGGTTCTACTCCATCTTTCGCTATCACCATCGGGACCCCTCGCTTATACAGAGCGACGTGAAGCGATTTCGAAAATTACCGAAGCACCTGAGTGTCGTCCTGACGTTGGAAAATGACGGCAGGGGGGGAGCTGGACTCGAAAGGCTGATCAACGAAGCTGCCGAGATCGCGGCTTGGTGTGCGAGTGCGGGCATTCCGCAGCTCTCCATATACGAAAAGACGGGTATGTGACGGGGAACAACCGACGCGCGGGTGAAGCCAACTGACATCGGTCATAGGAATACTCAAAGGTTACATGCCTGAGACGCATCGGGCTATTTCACAGAAGCTGGTCGGGTACTTTCCGCAACCTCCTTCGCTAAGTCTCGGGGCTCCTCACCTCCCAGCTGTCGAGTCCTCTCGCCCTGGCCCTGTGAACTCGGGTTTTTTGTCCCATTTGTCACTCCAGCTCTTGTCAGCAGAGGACGGACGGGATTCGATTGTGGATCTCACCAAGACGCTCGCCGATATGGCCCAACGATCAAAGCTGTCGTCACCCGACATCAGCACAGATCTATTGGACAATGAGCTGAGTGTCAGCGTCATGGGTGAACCGGACCTGTTGATCCTCTTCGGGCCCCATGTCGAGTTATCAGGGTATCCGCCGTGGCAGATCCGCCTAACCGAAATATTCCATGTACAAGACAACTCTGACGTGGAATACCACGTCTTCCACCGCGCGCTGGCCAGCTTTGCTGGGGCACAGATGCGTATGGGGAGGTAGTGTAGGCCCTT